AATTGGTTGAAAGATATTTATGTCAATGGTTTTATTAAAGACAGACACTGAAATCTGTCAAGTTGGATACAGTTTTCTCTGCTACTCAGCTGAACAAATGACTTTGAGTATAGAAGACAATGGTATGGAAAGAAACTTAAGCTTTGAAGATAATAGGCTTGAGCTCTCCTAAATGAGATTTTAAATATTAGAATAAATAAGAACACCTGCACACATGGCCTTGGGAGTTTGGAAATCATTACTATTGATAGTGTAAGGGAACTGACATAAGGATCAATCGCTAAGAAAGCAGTCATCAATACAGGAAGTTTAGGAAGGGCACAGTAACGGCCAGGCCATTTAAGAATTGGGAGAGCAAAGAGCTGTGCAAAACCAGTTCAAATGGAGATTTCCAGAAGGCTTATTAGAAAGACTCTTCTAGTTATTTGGACTCAAAGATCTCTGCACAGATCTATCTTTAGCCAATACTCTTCATGCTATGCACTTTCCCAGGGTGAGCTTATCCGTCTCCACAGTGTTAACACTGCGTTGATGACACACGTTTTTTACTTTTAGTCTAAATCTCTCCTCTTAGTTTGAACTTGCAAGATTCTACTAGATACATGTACCTGGATACCCTGAAGCATGTACATCAATCTCAATACATCTATTCAATCCTGAACTCACTGTCCTAAGCAAAAATCTTTCTTCCCTTTGGAAATCATTCTCCACCATCCTCATGACCCACAAGGCAATTCAACAGAGAACTCAACCAGAAATATGGGAATCAGTCTTGATTCTTCTCTCTTTCTAGCTCACCCGTTTTGAGAACTAGTCATTAAGTCTTATTGATTCTACATCATTTTCCTAATTTTTCCCTCTTCATTCCCATAATTTGAAACCTGGACTCTTTCAGTAGTCTCCCAACACACGTCCTTGTTTCTGGTTTTATATCACGTTAATTCATCCATGAAACTGCTAATGGATTATTCTTTCAATAAAACATTTTCAACAACTTAAAACACTTCAGTGTCTCCTTACTTGCAGACACAAAATGGCTATTAATATTTTCCACTTGATAAAAGCTAGGTTTCATCACACGCATAACCAATTCTCAGTTTAAGGATATATCTATAATTCCATAGAACTATGAGAACTCACATTAAGATGTTTAATTTTTTTTCTGATACTATTGAAGTTTAATTTCTAAATTATATTATAAAAAAATTTAAGCACATTGTGATATGAAGATTGTTTCTATTCAGAAGTTACTTGAATATGCACTGAGATAATATAGATAAAGTACTAGCCTAGTGCATGCCTTAATATTAATTTTCTTCCCACTCTAAAGAAAAAGAAAAATGTTTATTCAGGCTGTGGTACATGAAGTTAATATCAATTTTATTTTATATCAGTTTTTTATTTTTTAATATCAATTTTATAGTATTTGATCCATAATCAATTCACTTCAAATTAAGAGCTTGTAAGGTTTAGTAGGAGCTCCAAACCATAAACAATCTCATTGAGAGTCTAAAATTTCAAGAAGCAAGTGATTTTACCTACACCTAAGTATCCCCCTGTCACCAAAAACAAAATATATAAAGCCAGAAGTGGGTATACCTCCTGGAAAACTAAGTATTTTCTTCAGGAACCAGCTTCCTGTAAAGAACAACATCTGGAAGACAAGCTTTTGCCTGAGTCTCTAGCAATATGGTTTAAGACAAGGTAGGTATATTGAAATAAAGGTAGGTATATTGAAAAGCAAAGTTATGAAGCTATAAAACACCTACTTTGTATGAAAAGGCATTCTGATCAGACACAAGGAATGAGAGACTAGAATTCAACTGTAGTAAAAGAATAAAGTCTTTGACGTGGATTGAGGCAGAAAGGGTGATTATGACTGATTAAATTATGTGCCCCAGAGATTAAATGGAGGACACATCTGAGATAGGATTCCAGAATGACTGAAAAGGAAAAAGTGGCATCTTATCAGAAGCATGGTTTAATTCTGTGGATCTCAAAGCACAGTGATTTGGCGTCATCATTTTTTCCCCTTGGGTTTTTCTAAGTAAGATGCTAAATTTTTAGTGTGGCTATTGCCTCTTCCCCACTGCATTTTTCTCTGATAAGGGAGCGGTGATGGGTGTTTGGATCAAGGGTAGGTGGCCCCAAAGTATGCCTCACTGGCATATGGATTAATTTGAAATAAAGTGACTTAAACAGTTGATGCAAGAGGGACGCTGAATCTCTTCTCTGTCTCTCTAAAGTCAGGAAATAAATCTCTCTCATGTGAAAGGTGCCCTCCCTTTCACATTGGGGGAAGAAGGACAGCCTCATTTTCAGAGATAGGGAATTAAGGCAGCAAAACCTGTGTGAAAGCAACTCTTCTAGCTTCTTTACTAATGTACTACCCAAGCTCAAACTTTGTTTAAATTCCTAACTAATTAAGTCCCAAAGCCTGTTTCTTTGTCCCATCAATTCTTTTCAAATTTATTGTTTTATTTATTTATTTATTTTTGTCTAAAAAGTATAAAAGCTGCCAGCTTTGGTCATTTCTCAGGCAATTCTGTGAGACCTCCATGTGACTGAATTACAATTTGTTTTTTTCCGCTGTTAATCTGAGCTGTGTCGGTTTTATTATTAGATCACTCACAAGAACTCAAGATGGTAGAGGGGGAAATGTTCCCCTCCCCAACAGAGGAAAAGGGACTCTGGAAAATTAGCTATAGTTCATTAACACATGACCTGACTTTTAACTGACTTCATATTGATAATTAATTTTTTTTAATTAGTAAGTAAATGCATTTCTACAAATATGTACTAGTCTTAGAATAATCAGGATACAGGTAATAAATGGTTACTTCTCTGATACTTGGCTCAGATGTGGCCCTGAAGTAGAGATTTCAATTTAGAAGGTAAAGCAAAATTGGTAAAACAATTCCAATATCAAGGCAAAGGGGTAGAATCAAGTCACACACATAAGGACAAAGATGAAACTTACCAATATATTTTGGAAAGCTTCATTTTTCTTTAAAATATAGAAAAGCTAATTGGAGAACTATAAATAAAACTCTATTCCTATATGTAAGTGATATTCCTTGGTTTTACTGCAAGTATTTACATAAAACTTCTTTTTTTTTTTCTCGAGACCGTTACCTCAGACTTCACTCTCACTGTATTGAATTCCATATCTTCTCCCAAATTTTTGATAATTACAGTATATAACTTTAATGCAACATTAACACTCTTAGCTTGATTTGTCTATGAATTTTTATCGTTTCTTTTATATACACCTTCATCTTTACATCTGTGGAACTGATAGAAGTAACATCATAAATTAAAATATGTAATTGCAGGGAGTTCCCTGGTGGCCTAGTGGTTTTAGGATTCTGAGCTTTCACTTCTTAGCCTGTTTCCAGTCCCAGGCAGGAGTACTGAGATCATGCAAGCCTCACGGCATGGCCACAAAATATAAAAAAATGTAATTCCAGATACATGAGGGCCATGAAAAAAATAAAAAATATAATAATCCAGTAGACAATGTAGGCAAGAGGGTGGAAGATTATTTTATTTTAGATAAGTTGGTCAGAAAATCCTTTCAGAAAAAGTAGAATATGATAACAGCATACAATACAGCAGGGAAAAGATAATTAGCATAGACCTATCTTCTGAGCAGAGGGAATAGTAAATCCAAAGCCTCTGAGGTATGAACAGTTTTAGAATGTCTGAGGTGTATATACCAAGACAGCCAGCGACCCGGAAGTGGTACAAGAAGGCAGAGAGAAGGAATGAGGAGGTGGTAGCATCATAGCCACAGCACAGAATATAAACTTTATTCTGGGAGCAATGCAAATGTATTACAGATGTAAGCGAAAATTAAAGGCATAATCTCACTTATGTTTTTAAAGGGATATTCTGGCAGGAATAGAAAGAGACAGACCAATAAAGGGGTTATTTCAGGAGTTCCCCTGAGATAATGGTGGCCTGTATAAGATGGCTATTGGTATAGATGTAAAAGTCGGTTGGGTTTGGGATATACTAATGGTGAGAAACATGATGATGGATTATATTCGGAGTGTGAGGGGAAGAGAAGAATCAAGGTTGACACTCAGGATTTTATTTGAAACCTGGAAAAATGAAAGTTCTGCTTATTACCATGGAGAAGTGTGAGGGTGGAGGAAGTTGTGATGTGAAAAATCAGGAGTAACTGTTCTGTGCTCTAGGCATATGAAGCTAAGATGCCTGTTGCATATTCAAAAGAAGACAATGTATAATCAGTTAAATATAAGAACCTGAACATGATAAGAGATATAAATTAGAGAATCACTGAGGTATTAATTCTACTTTTTCCTTAAGTAGAAAAAGGATTGTCTAATATTTTATTTTTATCTGCATACTTGCTACAAAATATTTTCTCCTAAGAATTTTCTTTTTACTTCAGTCTATATGCTCCTTTCTTTGAAAAAAAAAAAGCTATATTATTTCCTGCATATGAGACATAAATCTGATTATTGCACATGACTGAACAGGCATGAAGGACAAGAGAAGAAAGAGTACTTTGCACTTCTTATCCAGTTCTCAAGATTTACTTCTTTTTGCTATTTTATATCCCTTCTCCTCCCCAAATAAAAACAATAAGTGAGGTACACACATTAGACTCTCAGAATAAGTACTATAAGTATGAAAAGTAATTATTATGATTCTTTTGCTTCACATAGTATTTCCTGGAAGATGAGACACTGATCAAGTCAAACAAAGTTAACTGTTGATGCATATTTTTCATTTGCCTGTTAAGACTGGTGGTGATACTAAGTATTACAAATCAGCCTTGATCTCAAGCTTATAACTTGTAGAGAAAATAAGACACTTATATTTAATATGAGAACAAGAAAACGGTATCAGTTAGGAACGTGTTAAGAAGCAGATAGCACGGTCGTGCTGGCTGTTAAATGGCCATGCCGTGTCCAGGTGCGCTTGGAGGGAAGAACGCTAACGGGAAGCCACAGTCGAGCAGGACTTACCAAGCGGTTGGCCTGCAATGATCCTGGCGTTCTCCCCAGCCACTGCCGCTCGTGCGTGACGCTCACTCATGTACTGTACGAACGCATAACCTTTGTGAACGGAGCAGCCCACTATCTTCCCATACTTCGAGAAGATTGCTTCGATGTCAACTTTCTTGACGATGGCTGTGTTCAGGTTGCCGATGAAGACGCGAGAGTTGATGGACTTCGGGTCGTTCTTATTGGTGACGTTGCTGGTCTGTGTTTTGCCGGTCATGGTTGGCTCAGCTTGTTTCAATCCTTAAACAAAAGAAAGATCAAAAGGAAAATAATTAGATGGAATGGATACCTCTGGCTTTTAGCAATTTTTCAGTCGTTTACCAGGTAACCTCAAATCCCCAAGCACCATTAATTTTATTGAGAAGAAAATTTAGTAATATAAAAGATGAAAGTTGCATTGCAAAATGAAGTAGAAAAAAATTGTAATTATTTAGCATATAGTTACAAATACATTCCTGATTAATTTATCTAAAATTCAGGCTTACACAGTGATTAAACATCTTATAGTGGTTTTTATTTTTATGTCTAGAAGTATTTCAGAAGCAAGTTTAAGGAACAAGCCACATTTTCTATTACTGAAAAAGAAAATCCAATATGACTATGGTCCGATGATGGAATATGGTACTGTAATTTATTGTTGAAACCCTGCATTATTATTTCTACATTTTCTATAATAGGTAGACATATTGGCTGTTTCATTACCAAAATCCTTCTATCAGAAACTAACAATTCATTTCAATAAATACTGTAGAAGAGAAAAAAAGTATTAAAATAAAAAATTTAATTAGGAAATTTAACATAAAAAACATAATTTTTAACGAGAATTAATTCTGTATATTCTCTTTAACAGAACCAACATCAAAAGTCATTTAAAGAGACACAGCATGTATAGCTAGTTTTCATCAATGATCAAGAAATAGGGTAGACTGGGTATCTGTGTGGAAACATCCATTCTCAACCTCATTTTTAATTCATTTAACTGTCAGCTCATATGTTGCCTAAGGACTGCTAGTATTTCTAAAAACTGCTTTCTGAGCTTGGCAGAGTGTTTAATTGTGCTTAATTAAACTTAATGAAACTTTTATTTCCAAGTACTCCAGCACTTACAATTTATTTTTTAGGCTTTTAAAAATTCATCCATTCATCCAACAATATTAAGCATGATTTTTTTTTTTTTTTGGACAGATCTTATCTTCTAAAGTGCCAGACAATTTAAAGGAACTAGTATGGTGAAAATAAAATTTCAGCAAAGATATAATCTCTAATATTGATGATCATTGTGGAATACTAGCTAACTGATAAATTTTATCAACATTATATTTCTGTACAAATAATTTCTTTTAAAATCTTACAGCTATAAAATAATTAACAAGAGCATTTTATTTTAAAAAATAATTTAAAATGGCATTTCTAAATTGAGCACTAAAGATGTGGAAATTTTAAAGGCATGTAAACTGGATATACTTGAAAATTTACTCACTACCTGTTTAAACTAGCTAATTCTAAAATCAAGAGCAACCATTTATCATAAAATGTTTCAAATTAGTTTATTAATTATGAATTCTTAGATTACTAAAATTTTATTAAATATTGGACACACTATATATGTCTGCTTATAAAGAAGGTTGACTTCATTAACAGTAATTCACATAAAAATTAAAAGTATGGCATCAGTAAAAACAGGGACTATATTGTTGCCTTGTTTTACCTTAGCTACATTTAAGAGCTTCCTTTAAGAGTTATTCAAGGTTAGGACTGAAGGAAAGGAAAGCTGATAGTCTTATTTTCTTAGTTTTGCAGTTGGAGCTATTGCACGAGTGAGTGAGTGAGTGTGCGTGCTCAGTCGTGTCCGGCTCTTCTGTGGCCCCGTGGGCTGCAGCCTGCCAGCCTGCTCTGTCCGTGGAATTTTTCAGGTAAGAATACTGGAGTGGGTTGCCACTTCCTTCTCCAGGGGATCTACCCATATCAGGCATCAAACCGTGTCTCCTGTGTCTAATGCAGGTGGGTTCTTTACCAGCTGAGCCACCAGGAAGCCCATGCCTCAAGCTAATGCTGAGAATCAATTCAAACAAAAACTAATTACGGTGTACACATATATTCGAAACATTCAGCTTCTTCATATAATTTAGTATATTTTAAACACACTGAGGAGAAAAAATAAACTAAATATCTACTTTGTGGCTTCAGAATATATTAAGGATCATTTTTCTTACAACTCTAAATCAACATCAGTAATGCAATACATATAAGTAATATTATTACTTTTTGCTCTTATATGATGTATATTTTTAGAAATACCATAAAATTACTTTCAAGAATGAATGGTTCTTAAAACTGATGTTTTCTTTCTTGGACAGGAATAAATTGGTCAAAATGCAAACAGAAGAATTGTTAAATTAAGTTGTAAACATGGCTTACAGATCCCAGTGGTCTGTCTTTGACAGTAAGCCTGGGTCAAACTTAAAATGGGGGCACAGTTGCACTCTGAATTCTCACTGTGTCAACATGCTCTCTCTGAGACCATCCTTATATTTTATGCAGATGTCTCTCATAACTATAAGTCCAAACTGCCATTTGTATAATTCCCTTTAATGACTTTTGATCACCTTAAATCTGTATGTATTTAATCTCTCACAAGAAGACTGACTTGCCAGTGTCTATCAGATTTTAATGACAGATTTTTGTCATTGTGTTGTACACTATCAACATTCTCTGCAAAATTAACTCTTAACATAATGTAATATTTAGCTTGTTATTCTCTGTTACATGAGTCTTCATCAATTGAAGAAAGACTTCTACTTTCAGTTATGATGGATTTAATCCAACAAGGATTAAAGTGACTCTCTGACTCAAACAATTAGAAAATAAGGCTAATGTACATGAAACAAATGATTTTTTCCTGACGTAAAGCCACAGGCAGTGTCAAACTATGGTATCTGAGCACAACAAACAGAAAATACAGGAAGTTCTAGGCTAGCCTTAGTTTTTCGTCTGGAAAGTGAATTTCATGTCATAAAGTTGGTCTGTGTGTGTGCGTATGTGTGTGTGCGTGCGTGTGTGTATGAATTCGTGTGTGTGTGTGAGTATGTGTGAGTGTGTGAGTGTGTGTGTGTGAGGGCATGCCTGTATATCACTGAAAGCAGAGACAGCCACCTCACTGAATTTAAGTGATAGATCAGGGTTTAAGGCAGGAAACTGTGAGGGAGATTTCTAGAGAGAAGAGAGCTACAGAGAAGCAATCCCGTACACTGTCTTACAGATCCCTTGAATCTATGCTGATTCCCAGGATATGCTTGCAGTGGGTGAATGTCTATGAGACAGGTTAAAAAGTTATTGGAAAGCTGTGAGCTGAATGCCTCCCAGGCCCACAAAAGGCTGCGAATCATTCATCTCCTACCAGCAGCAGTGGAAAGTCCAAATAGGCATGTTGAAGCATTAAATTCAGACATCTGAAGGGTCAGGACTTAGTCATGGAGATAAACAATTCCTGCAGTAAAAAGGACTCAGGACCACCCCAACAAAATTTGAAAACAGCTCTCAAGGTGATCAAACTAAACCAAAAGCAACTATCTATGAGAACAAAGCATAATACTCCTTTTTGAAAACTAGAACCCAGCCACTAAAGAGTAAAATACAAAATCTTTAGAATCTAATTAAAACCTCCTACATATCCAAAGATCAGAAAACATGACCGATAATCAGGAAAGAAGTTAAAGATATGAAAATAATCGAGTGGAACATCTAAAGATGAAACCTATAATATCCAAAATAAAAAACCATACTTGATAGACGTGGCACCTTAAAAGACTCTAGAGCAGATTTGTGAATTTGAAGTTGTAGAATTAGTGACTATCCAAAATGTATCAAAGAGATTAAACACTGGGGCTTCCCTGGTGGCTCAGTGGTAAAGAATCCGCCTGCCAATGCAGGAGACACGGGTTTGATCCCTGGTGAGGGAAGATCCCACATGTCATGGAGCACCTAAGTCTGTGGGCCACAACTAATGAGTCTATTTTCTAGAGCCTGGGGGCCATGACTACTGGGGCCACAAGCTGCAACTGCAGAGTCTGCACGCTCTAGAGCCTGCTCTCTGACAAAGAGAGACCACTGCAGTGAGAACCCCAGGCACCCCACCTGGAGAGGAGCCCCTGATCACCACAACCAGAGAAAGGCCTGTGCAGCAGCAAAGACCCAGCAGAAACAGAAATAAGCAAGTAAGCAAAGATCTTTTTTTTTTCTAAAAGAGATTAAACACAAGAAAATAAGTAGAGACTCAGTGAATCATGTGATAGTATCAATTATTTAACAGACATATATCTGGAGTCCTGGAGTAACAGAAATTAAAATAGTGGCCAAAAACCTGCAAGATTTGATAAAATTATATGATTCCATAGATCCCAGAATTTCACTGAACCCTAAGCAGGATAAACAGAAACAAAACCACACCCAGATATATCATACTCAAGCTACAGAAAACCAGTGATACAGAGGAAAACCAAGGAGTTCTCAGGAACTGGAAAAATGCCTACATTCCAAAGGAAAAAAAAATAAATAAATAAAGGAGAACAGTCAAAGTAATGTTATAGCTTCAAAAAATTGAGAAGGTAAAAATGAACTAAAATGTGTTTAATTGAAAATACAACTAAACTCAAAATTTGTTTCTTTATTTTTAAGTTAAAGTTTGAATGGAGTTAGTTTTAAGTGTCTATGAAAACTGTAAACCATCACTGCCCCACAGAACTTTCTGTAATGATGGAAGAATTCCATATCTACACTATCCAAAATGGTAGTCAGTATCCCCATGTGACTTCAGGACTTAAAATGTTGATTCTGAGATTAAGGTACTGAGATTTTAATTTTACTCAAATAAAATTTAAGTAAAATTTTAATGGTTTTCTCTACCCCAAAGGCTAACAAATCTCTCATCTTTTAAAGATATAAGGTGAATATAAATAAGAAAAAAAATAGCTATTTGTGTATATAAAGGTCCATCTAGCCAAGGCTATGGTTTTTCGAGTGGTCATGTATGGATGTGAGAGTTGGACTATAAAGAAAGCTGAGCACCGAAGAATTGGTGCTTTTGAACTGTGGTGTTGGAGAAGACTCTTGAGAGCCCCTTGGATTGCAAGGAGATCCAACCAGTCCATCCTAAAGGAGATCAGTCCTGGGTGTTCATTGGAAGGACTGATGCTGAAGCTGAAACTCCAATACTTTGGC